TGGACTCCTGTCATGACAATAATACCTAATCACTTAGCCCTTTTAAACAATTCTCTCCCTCATCTGTTTCAATGCAGTATACATTATTTATCCCATCTTTCTCAGTCTTCCTCAACCCTGATGTCAGTCCCATTTTACAACAGTGGCCCTATGCAACATTCGTCCTTTTGTGACTGAGGTATTTCACTCAGCATAATATCCTCAGGGGTCACCCATTTCATGAGTTCCTTGTTTTTCAATTCAGCATAGTATTCCATTGTGTGAATATACCTCAGCTTCTCTATCCATTCATTTGTTGATGGGCACTTAGGTTATTTCCAACTCTGCTTTTGTGTACAAAACTGCAATAAACATTGGTGTGCATATATCTGCTTGGATGTCAGTTATGGTCTCTTTAGGGTATATCCCCAGTAGTGGAATTGCTGGGTCAAATGGTATTTCTATTTGCAACTTTTTGAGAAAGTGCTATACAGCCTTCCATAGTAGTTGCACCATTTTACACACCCACCAACAGTAAATAAGGGTTCCAGTTTCCCCACAACCTCACCAGCATTTGATGTTTGCTGTTATGTTAAATTTTACTATTCTTACTGGGGAGAGATGATATCTCATAGTTGTTTTGATTTGCATCTCTCTTAGAGGTAGGGATTTTGAACATTTCTTCCTGTGCTTGTTGGCCATCTAAATGTCTTCTTTGGTGAAATGTCTGTTCATATCCTGTGTCCATTTTTGGGTTACTTACCTTTATCTTGTTGTGGTGCTCGAATATTTTATAAATTCCAGATATAAGTCCCTTATCAGACATGTCATTACCAAATATTTTTTTCCTAGTCTGTGGCTTCCCTTTTTACCCTGTTGGAGAAGCTTTTGGATGTGCATGGGGATTTGATTCTTAGAAGATCCCATTCATCTACTTTATCCTCTCCTGGTTCTAGATATATTCAACATTCTTTCATACCACACTAATATGAAAGCATTAATTCTTCAATCTTCGGTATTCCTTGTTCAGCTTTGACATGTATATAAGATGATGGACATTGTGAAACCCGGATGAAACTGTTCACCACAGCTAGGAAAGTAAGCATGGTTAAGCCTGTGCACTCCATGTGTATTGCAGAGTGGTGGTGCGTACTATGCTTACTGGTTAATCTGCCTCCAGCTGTGGAAGAGAGTCTGTACTTTCTTCAGTCCATCAAACAAGAGAAAAATGATGTCTATATACCATTACTGGAGAAATTAGCTTCAGTCTTTTGGTTAAGGTAGAGCCTGGTGAGTTTCTCCACTCCCTTTATTATTATGAGGGAACTGGGGTGGCCTAGACAATAGGGAGTTGTGTCATCACCTTTTGTGAGCAGAGGGCCTATGACAGGACCTTCTCATGCTGCAAGACTGGCTACATCATTTGTGAGGCCTATTTTATTTTCATTATTTTGTGTGTATGGACCATCAAATCGGCTCTGACTGGTACAGAAGGAGATTGCCCCTCCTTCTCCAGCAGAGCATCTGGTGGATTTGAACTGCATACCTCTGGGATTGCAGTGCAGCTTCTTGCTACTAGGCCACCAAAGCTCCCTGTGAGGCCTATTGTAAATGCCACGTATCTGAAAATTGGACAGTGACTAAGAATGACAGAAGAAGAATCGATGACTTTGAGCTATGGGGTTGGAGAAGAGTACTGAGCACTCCATGGACTGCCAGGAGGACAGACAAGCACGTCTTGGAGAAAGTGTGGCCAAGATACTCCTTGGAGGCAAGGATGGTGAAGCTGCGTCTCACATACTTTGAACGTGTAGTTAGAAGGGGCCAGTCCTTGGAAAAAGACACCATGCTTAGAAAGGTAAGAGCATAGGAGAAGACCCTCAATAGGCTGGATTGACATGGCAACTGTAACAAATGGCCTCGAGCTGATCGAGATGGTGGCACAGGATAGGGCCGGGTTCACATCTCTTGTTGATAGAGTCACTGTGCATCTCACTCGACTCAAGAGCATATAACAACAACATCACAAAATGAAATTTAGAGCTGCAAAGTTGCTCTGCTAATCCAAAGACACGCCTCTCTGGTTGATCAACTCCACTGGCAAAGGGTGGGCAGTCGGTCTCCTGCTGTGCAGTTTGCAGCCTTGGGAATCCCTGGAGGCTCAGCAATGAGTCATGTCCTGCTGGACAGCAGTGAGTTTGAGTTCTGTTCATAAGAAGACCTGTGAACATAGTGGCTTAAGTGTTGGACTTCCAGCCCAAGGGTTGGCAGTTTGAACCCACTAGCTGCTCCGCGGGAGAACACTATAGCAGCCTGTCCCTATAAATTTACAGCCTCAGAACCCCTCTCTGGGTCAGTTCTCCTGTCCTATAGGGTCGCTATCAGCCAGAATCAGCCCTGTGGGAATGAGCTGTTCAAAGAACAAGGAAAAACTTGCTTTACAGGTACTAAAAGATAATGCCTTTCTGTTCTTTTATAATCTTTCTTTAGACTTGTGATGATGTTTTTAACTTGTTATAATATCATTCTAGTAAAAAAAAATTTAAATTATTAGCATGATTTTTACTGTTCATCTTCACATTGTGCAATGCTGGCCTTAAGTGCAAGCATAATAAGAAACATTAGCTCGTGTGGAATCATTAGAATTGCACAACTCATATTTCATAACTTGTACATGCATTTATGTATTGCCAGAAACCGAGGCAATGCTGCACGCTAGTAACCCGACTGCTTTCTTTCACTTGTCGATACATAGGCGTTCTACTCACACCCTACTTTTAGCTTACTGGTGACTGAGGAAAGGCTTCCCTTTCCTCCTGTGTCATCGTTTTGTTTTTTTTTTTTTTTTGAAGAGCAGAAAAACAGTTGGTTTAATTGAAGTGGAATTTAAATTGAAAGGGTCCGCCTGAGGTGAAGGGATTGAATCCCTGCCACGAGTTCCAGCTTCTGTGGAAAGGGTTACCGCCACCGCCTGGTTGGCTCTCTGCAACCAGAGGGTCTTCTCCGTCATCAAACTTTTTCCTCATTTCTGGGTCAGAGAGGACTTCTTTAGCGGCAGCTATGTCGATGAACTTTTTCTCAGCTTTCTTCTTTTCTTCTTCATTCTGGAAGTTATCTGGATGCCACTGCATTGCTAATTTTCTGTATGCTTTGATAATTTCTTGCTTTTTGGCATTTCTTTTTACTCCCAAGATTTTGTAATAATCTCTCTTCTGTGACTGTTTGAGGAGTCGCTGCGCCTTCTCCAGGCCTTCCCGAATCTCCTGGTCGTTGTCATTTTGTTCCTGAGCACTTTCATAATCCTGAATAGCTTCATCATACATTTCTTCTATTAAATAGGCCTCCGCTCGGTCTTTCAGCGCATTCACATTGTCAGGTTCCATCTGTAAGACTTCAGAACATATTCTAATAGCTTCCACCGGCTTCTCATCCTTAGAGAAGCAGTGGCAGATCCTTTCTTTTGAACGAATCGTATATTCAGAAACACTTGGTTCTGTTTTCATTACAGATTCATATTTGCTAATTGCCTCTGCATATCTCCCATCGCGGGTGAGCTCTTCAGCGGACTCGATCAGCTTATGAAGTTTCTTTACTTGTTTATAGTGTGCAAAGCACTTTTTATGATCCTGGTCGAGTTTAAGACACTCCCGGACTTCACTGAGAGACAGTTCGTGGTCTCCGAGCTGGTAGTACAGAGTGCTGATTTTATAAAAAGCCTCGGTATTGTCATTCTTCAGTTTGGACGCAGCTTTTAAATCACTTATCGCTTTCCGCGGTTCTCCTTCTCTTACAAAGCACTCAGCTCGAAGCTCCCGCAGTTCTGCATCCCAAACACAAACCTCTAAAATCCTATCGAGGAAGGTGACGGCAGCAGCGTAATCTGCACTCTCAAAAGCATACAGTGCTTGTGAGCGTAAGCGCTGCATTTCATCCGATTTTAACAGCTGAGACTGGGCTTCCTTTTCTTCGTTTTCACTTGGATTCGATTTGAGTACTTTTTTAAAATCATCTTCTGCTTCATCAAGTCTTCCCTGTTTGAGAAGTAAGTGGCCTCTCTGTAATCTTGCTGCAGTGAAATCCATCTTCAATTCAATCACTCGAGTTAAGTCAGGAAGGGCCGCTTTTGATTTACCCATAGCTAAAAAGACAGTGGCTCTCCGGTAATAAGCAATGTAGTTATCAGGGTCACCGTCTACTGCAGCATGGAACTGTGACAAAGCGTCAGCGAGCTGCCCCGCTGCCAGTAACTTCTTGCCCAATTCAAGGTGTTTCTCAACATCTGCATTTACTCCACATTCCGCACCTTCGTACTGCAAGTCCACCAGGACAAGCAGGAAGGGGAACACCGAGCCCAGCCGGCTGGTCACGGAGCCGGGAGCCACCATGTCCGAGGAGGCGCGACAAGGGGAAGACGAGTGTGCGGGGCCGACGCGCTCCCGCCGGCGCTCAGGCTGCAGCAGCGCCCGCCCGCGGTTCGGTCTTGCTCTCAGGCCTCTGCGACCGCGGGCGCGGAGCTGTGTCATCGTTTTAAATCTACATGGCTGGTTAACACAGGGAGCAGGAGGAGGAGGAAAGAGGGCAGGAGATCTCCCCGGCTGATGGTGTTTCTTTGAGCCACTGCCTTCTCTGTGTAATTGAGACGAACCCTGGTCAGAAATGAAAGCCGGCTTCTTGGGTCAGTTGCACGTGTCCACTCCCCCGGCTTTCTCACTCAGTCTCGCTCGGTTTCTACATACGGGGAGCCACTAACTTCTGTGCTCATGGGACATTGCCAGGGCCTCCCCACCTCCCTCCTCCTGTCTTCTGGGCATTTGCCAGGTCACATCTCTTCTGTCGCAGGCTCTGGCTGTCCTTGTCTTCTTATCTGTCTTGTCCTGCATACCAGTAGGCACATAATAAGCGAAGATAAAACTGTATCAGTGCAGGATGTGGCCAAGGAAGTGGAGAGGAGGCCCCTGTGGGGATCGTGCAGGGGCCTGAGGGGAATGGAAGAGGGCCTGACCTGGACTGTCCCCCTCCAGGTACAGCCTCTACACACGCACCTGGCTTGGGTACCTCTTCTACCGGCAGCAGCTGCGCAGGGCTCGGAATCGCTACCCCAAGGGCCACTCCAAAACCCAGCCCCGCCTCTTCAATGGTGAGCTCCGGCATCCCTCGGCCAGCGTCCCCTCCACTGTACACACTTCAGCCTCCTTGCCTACTCCCCTTTTATTCTGTGCCCACCCCCAGCCTTGCTTCTGCCCACTACCCATCCACCACCCCTCTCTGTACTCCAGGAGTGAAGGTGCTTCCCATCCCGGTCCTGTCAGATAACTACAGCTACCTCATCATCGACACCCAGGCCCGTCTGGCTGTGGTGGTGGACCCTTCGGACCCTCGGGCTGTGCAGGTAAGAGGGGGCATAGGGGAAAGGGAAGTGCCCGGGGTCCCCATTGGAGGCTGTCAGCATGCCCTAAAGAGAATTGTCTCTAGTTCCTCTGTCACTGGACTGTGGCACTCTTCAGTCTTGCTCTGGACGTGCCACCCACGTGCTCTGTGTGTGCGTGTGAGAATGTTCATAGGTATATGGGGGGAGGACTGATAAGTACATACACACACGCACACACAGAGCACGGGACGGGAGCAGTGTTTAGAGCAGGGTGGATAAGAGAGTGATGTTGACCCCGGAAGTGGGCCTACAGAGTTTCCTGTCTCAGTCCATCTCTGCAGACTCTTTCTGAGCCTTGTTTCTGTGTGTGTGTCCCTACCCCTCTCTTCTGCTCTGCCTGCTCCCACCCTGCTCTGTGTGCCCCTTGCTGCGTGGGTCTCAGTCATCTCTGTCTTTCGTCTTTTGCCAGCTCCCTCCTCTCCTCTCTCTTCCTCTCCTTTATTCCCCCAACCCCTCTCTTCCCTGGCAGCGCCCTTCTCTCCACCTGCCCCTCTTTCAGCTTCGTCTCTCCCTCCACCCCCAGCTTTTTTTAAAATTTTTAAAAATTATTATCTTGTGTGTGTTCCATCAAATTGGATCTGACTGGTACAGGAGGAGACTGTCCCTCCTTCTCCAGCAGAGCATCTGGTGGATTCGAACTGCATACCTCTGGGATTTCAGTGCAGCTTCTTGCCCCTTTACCTTCTCTCTTTACCTTCTTTATCTTCTCTCTCCCTGCCAGGCTTCCATTGAAAAGGAGGGAGTTACCTTGGTTGCCATTCTCTGCACCCACAAGCACTGGTAAGGGGCTGGGGGACCAGGATGCAGCTCCCCTTGGCCAGTTCTTGCCCAACAGGGCTTGCAGGATGAGGCCACTGGCATGGGCGGCACACACCCTCTTCAGAAGCTACTGGGGCGCCAGCAGATAGAGGGTGGGCGTTCGCCCTCCTCACTCCTCTGCCTCCTGAAGACCTAGGGGAGAGGAGAGAGCCTGGCATACTTCTTGCATCACGTGGATATTTATTAGATGCCTCCCGGGCAGTGGACACAGATAAAACCTGCCATCTCTACCATCAAGGAGAAAAGAGTGCAGTAGAAGGAGAGATCCCTGCAGAAAAGTTTATCACTATTATCACAGATTGGGAGTTCTGGTGGCCTAGTGGTAAGAACCTGCGCTGCAATCCCAAAGGCATATGGTTCAAATCCACCAGCTGCTGCACGGGAGACGGATGAGCAGTCTCTTTCCATGTGATTTACTGCCTATGCCAAACCCCTGGAGGGTCAGTTGTGGGTTGGTTCCGACTCCACAGCACACAAAAACAACATAACAGACATTTGGGGGCATTTGGCACAGGATATGGAAGTGGGGGCACCACGTGGGGCACAGTCAGAAGAAGCACGTGTAGGAGGAATTCAAAGGTGATGCCCTTGGAGTTGAGAAAGTCCAGAAAGATGAGTCAGCATTGGCCAGGTTGTTGGGGGAGGTAGGGTGACAGGTTATGGGAGAGGAGACAGTCTGGGCAAGGGAAGGACTTGAGCAAAGACTTAGAAGTGCCATGACAGCTCAGCCCCATCTGGGATCCACAGGCCTCAGGTCTCTAAAGCCCGGAGATGCCAGAGACGTCATGGGGTGGGGGAAGGGACAGCAGAAGCCCTGGGATTGGTGGTTCATCCCTGCCATCTAACAGGGACCACAGCGGAGGGAACCGTGACCTCAGCCGGCGGCACCGGGACTGCCGGGTGTATGGGAGTCCCCAGGATGGTATCCCCTACCTCACCCAGTAAGTGCCTGATCCAGGAATGGGGACCCATTCTGGGACCCTTTCCCTTGCCCCCATCCTTTAGTGGGTGTTTTAGTGTCATCACCAGTTGCACTTTCCCTGCCCACCCCCACCTGATCAGCTGTGGTCCTCTGAAGAGGAAGGGGAGGGCGGGTTTGGGGTCTAGACCCTGAACACGGGATGTCTTCTCTCAGATGTGGAAGCTTGCCCTCCTGTAAATCACTCAGCCGCTTGGCCTGGACCCGGGACAGGGAACTGAGATAAGGGTCAGCAGGACCAAAGCTCTAGTGCCTTCTTTCCCCTGTTGTCTTGTTCCCCAGCCCCCTGTGTCACCAAGATGTTGTCAGTGTGGGACGCCTTCAGATTCGAGCTCTGGCCACTCCAGGCCACACACAAGGACACCTGGTCTACCTGCTGGACGGGGAGCCCTACAAGGGTCCCTCTTGCCTCTTCTCAGGAGACCTGCTCTTCCTCTCCGGCTGTGGTGAGTCTCCAGAGGGGAGAAGGGCAGGATGGAGACCAGGGCAGCCCTTGAGGCTATGCATTGAGCTCCAGTTCTCAAGCCAAACATATATATGTATGTATGTGTGTATTTTTAAAAAATTTTTTATTATTAATTTTAATGAAAATTTACACTTTGGATTTCCAGTTATTCATTGTTGCACTTTTCTCCCTGCCCACCCCTCCCCCACCCAGTTCGCTCTTCTCTTTGAAAAGTAAAAGAAAAATTCTTTCATTGTTATGTAGTCCCTCCCCCCAAGTCCACTCCACTGTGCAGCCTTCATTCTGGACTTCTGTCATGACAATAATACCTAATCACATATCCCTTTAAACAGTTTCCTCCCTCATCTGTTTCAATGCAGTATGCATTAATTATTCCATCTTTCTCAGTCTCCCCACAACCCCGATGTCAGTCCTGTTTTACAACAATGGAACTATGCAGTATTTGTCCTTTTGTGACTGAGATATTTCACTCAGCATAATGTCCTCCAGGGTCTCCCATTTTTAATACTATTTCATGAGTTTCTTGTTTTTCAATTCAGCGTAGTGTTCCATTGTGTAAATATACCACAACTTCTCTCTCCATATATTTTTTCATGCCCTCAAGACCTCCCAAGGGAAGGGGCAGGTGGGGATGGCTGTGACTGAGTGCAGACCTCACTGCAGGGCATTTGTCCTGCGCTCTGATGCAATGACAGGCAGGACTCAACGGTTTACAAATAGGGGAGCCCCTGAGTGAGAGGATTGTGGGGACAATTCGTTCAGGCTGCGTGGAGTCCCAGAGGGCACCATGGCCAAAGGATCAGCTCTGCCAAGAGGCTTGGGGCTGAGAGAGCCAGCTTGAAAGCCCTGTACCCCTTTTCACACGGATGCCAACCTTCAAATGGGCTTGGGTGGGCACACATGATTAGGCCCAGAGGGAGTCTCCTATTCTAGAATATGACCTAAAGGTGACGCTCGTCTGCCGGTTCTAATCCACCAGCAGCCTCAGAAAACGCGCTAGAGGATTAGCCATGAAGTTAGTTCCCACTCCATGACAATCAGCTTGAATTTTCCGTAGGAGGAGGAAGGACAGTGGCCTGGAGGACTGACTGGTGGCCAGTATGAGCCACAGGCTGGTCTCTATCCCTTCCCATGTGTCTTATACCATCCCTCCCTCCCCTCACTCAGGACGGACCTTTGAGGGCACTGCGGAGACCATGCTGAGCTCACTGGACACTGTGCTGGGGCTGGGGGACGACACCCTCCTGTGGCCTGGTGAGGCATCCACCCACCCTACCCCATCCCTGCTCTTGGCCTGGACTGGGCTCTCCCAGCCCCTCATTTCCTAAGTGACCCGACAGGGCAGAGCACCGTCCCCTCCTTTCCGGAATCCTGGCTCCCTAACAGCTCATTCCACTGTCCCCTGCTAGCCAGCCCTCCACCTCTCAAAGCCCTGAAAGCCCCAGAAGACCCCAGAGAGGTGTCAAGTCTTTCATAGCTAGAGCCCAGGGTAGAAAGTAGCCTTAATTCAGTGTTCATCCATTGCTGGAGGACCTCTGGTGGCACTATGGTTAAAACAGTTGGCTTCTAATCAAAAGCTGTTCGGAGCAAGAAAGGTGAAGCAGTCGCTTGTAGATGTAAAGCGTTAGAAACCTTCTAGGGCTCCATCCTACAGGCTTGCCAGGAATTGGAAGTAACTGAGGGCAGTGGGTTCACCTATTCCTTGATGGTGTACAAAGCACATTCCTAGATATACCGGTTAATCTTCAGAATACGTCTTCCTTCACCGCACTTTACAAATCGGGTTCCCTGTGCCACCTGCCACGAGACAGGCTTTGTCCTACATCAGGGAGCAACATCATGCGGGAGTTGAGATTGCCATCTCCACTTTCCACATGAGAAGAGGCTCAAGGCGGAGCTGTGACTTGTCTGAAGGCCAGAGCAAGTCTCCTAGTCTAGTGGTCCCCACCACCCCCACGTCCTTTCCATCCTCACTCGGGGGGACTGTGCCACATCCACTGGGGACTGAGGCTCTCCTGGAGCAGTGTCCTCCTCCCTGCTTGTCGGGTGTCCAGATGGGGCCTGGGCCTGCAGACGGACAGATCTGACCACACCCTGGGTTCTGCCCTGTGTCCCCTGGCTGTCCGTAGGTCACGAATATGCGGAGGAGAACCTGGGCTTTGCAGGGGTGGTAGAGCCTGAGAACCTGGCCCGGGAGAGGAAGATGCAGTGGGTGCAGAGACAGCGGATGGAGCGCAAGAGCACGGTGAGTGGCAGGGGTGGGAGAGCCAGCCCACCTGTGCTGCGCCCCGTGGACCCTGGGCCCACCCGTGCTGTGCCCCATGCATCCTGGGCCCCCACGGACCCTAGGCCCTGACTGGCTTGGTCCTCCAGTCTTCCAGTCAGGATTCTGAGAGCCGAGCATGGGAGCAGAACAGGGCTGTCTGCATCAGCCCATTTCCCAGATTCTCTCCACTGAGCCTGATGCTTCTTCTCCTCCAGTGCCCATCCACCCTGGGAGAGGAGCGCTCCTACAATCCCTTCCTGAGGACCCACTGCCTGGCGCTGCAGGAGGCCCTGGGGCCAGGCCCAGGCCCCACAGAGGACGACTGCTTCTCCAGGGCCCAGCTGCTGGAGGAGCTCCGCCGGCTGAAGGACATGCACAAGAGCAAGTGACGTCCCTCCCCACGCAGCCCTCCCCGCAGTGGGGAGGGCGCCCACCACACAAGCACCACCCCACCCCACCCCTCACATTGCCACCACCTCCAGCCTCCATCGGTGTGGCCATCCTTCCCCTGCACCGGTCAGGGGGAGGGGAGGGACAAGGCCATGTGACTTGAGAAAGGGGTTTGGTGGAAATTTTGGAGACCTGAGGGAAGGAGGCTAAATTTAGGAGGAAGAGAGGGGTCTGGAGCATCTTCAGAGCCTGCTAACCAGAAGGGCCCCCTCCTCACTTCCCAGGCTGCTGGAACGCCGCACTGACTCCCTCCCTCCCTCAGGAGGTCTCCCTCAGACTGTGCCACCGAACCCAGAGCAGCAGGAAATGGATGGAAAAAACAAAGGCCCCCAAAGTGACCTAAGGGGTGGTGCCTTGGCAAAGTGGTGGCTCGGGGCAAGTGGGCTCTGGTTTACTGTGACACTGCCCCCCCCCCCCCCCCTGGCCACTCCACCCACAGATTCTTTCCACACTGAACCCAGAAGTCCAAGCCCCTCCATTTTATCAGGCCAATGTTGAGGATGGCACAGTCTAGGACTGGGTTCAGGTTGTTCATAGTGTCGCTATGAGTCATGCTGGACTGCAGCACCTGAATCAACTACAACAACGTCCTACAGTGTGGAAGAGGTTGGTTGCCAAGGAAACCTGTCCTCAGGCTAATGAGACAGAGGAAGGCCACAGTGGAGGCCACTTTCACCCAGTCTAGCAGGTCTGAGCCAAAGGCCCTCTGTCCGAGGAGGGAAAGCGCCGTGGGCGCCCCAGCCATTGCTGTGTCCCTCACTTTTGGCTCTTATTTTCAGAGTTTCTGACTTCCGCTCTCTAACTTAATTCCTTCTGCTCGGTCCTCACCCCCTCTTCTCTGTTAGCTACCAAAGGCTTACTTTTATGCTCCTCCTTTGCAGTTTGCCAAGAACATTCCCATGTGGTTTCTCCTCTGATCCTCAGCCCCCGGGAGGAGGGGCCTGCATAGCAAAAAAGCAGACTCAAGTCTGGGACCCTAGTGAGAGGCTTCTCCTGGGACCCCAGGCCTGGGCTCCCACCTCTGCACGCCCCATCCCCCAACTCAGTTCCTCCTTGGGTTTCGGGTCTTTCGGGGACCACAGTGAGGAGGCCCGTGGCCCTGAGCAGGCAGGCCTGGGTCAGCCTGGAGCCTTCTCTTCCTGCGTGAAAGCCCTTCCCTTGGGCTCTGTTTGTTGGGGTGACCCTCTGAGCCGGCTCCTGCCCTCAGTTTCCCCTCATCATCCAGCCTCTGCCTCCTTCTGCAGCCACGGCCTCTGGTACCAACTCTAGCAATACCGCCAGACTAGTTAGAATGCCCTGCCCCCAACATGCCTCTGTGCCTTCGCTCATGCTGTTCTTCTGACTGGAATGCCTTTCCCCGCTCTCCTGCCTTGTCTGCCTGGCAAAAACCTATTCATCTTTCACGGTCCCGCTGTGAGGTCCCGTCCCTGTCCAGGCTACCTCTGCACTTTGTAAATGCTTCTCTCTGGCACCTGTCACACTATATTTTACTTGTTTACATGTTTGTCTCCCCTTCTAGACTGTGAATCCGTAAGGGCATGGACTGTACCTTATGCATCTCAGTATTTCTGCGCCTAGCACGGTGCCTGGCACACAGGCGCTCAATAAATGTTGAATGAATGAATGATTTAACTGAGGTTTGGTGACTTGTCTTTATTGCTGCTTGCGTGACAGTCGAGGACCTTCCCACCATTTCCCCCATCTTGGCTACAGGCCTGCTGACTTGAATTTACTGGGCTTCAGGAGCTTTGCCCAAAATTAACAACCATAACCATAGTGGTGCAGAGTTTAGTTTACGATTTGCTCCGTGTTTAGCAGAGTTGGAAGTGTGCGGGGGTATCCTCTGCTGGGTGTGGACGGTTACAGCACAGGGGTGGCTAGAGGCAGCCGCGGCTCAGTGCTGAGCATTCTTTAGCACTTCTCTGACTAAGACCCCACATCTAGTAGGCACTTTGGCCATCCCCAGTTATACTTTAACAGCACTGTTTTGTTTTTATTTGTCTTTAGAGTTTTCTTTTGACATGTAACACTAGTTTCCATTCCTAGAAATGACTACGGATATACTGGAGTAAGGAAAACATGACGTAAAGAACAGTACAGGTGCATTTGGTTAACTCTACAAGATGGAACTGTAGCTTAAGACCAGGTTAGATGTCCAACCACAAATGAATGGATTGAGAAATTATGGTACAGTCACACAGTGGAATATTATGCAGCACGCAGGAGCAATAACTTTGTAAATTATTACCTAACTTGAGAGGGAATGGAGAGCCTATGCCGAGTGAACTAACTCAGTCCCACGAGGATAAATATTGTATAAGACCGTCATTGTAGAATGAGTATAAGAATCCAGGAGGGGTGGGAGAGGCTGGAAGCAGAGGTGATGTGGATGTGCAGGGGGAGAGAGATTAATCACTGGGTTGTACAATTTGATGGGTGGGGAGGGTGAGGGAAATTGAAAGAATTTGTTTGAATTTATATTAGAATTTTGTAAATAAATAAGTGAAAGGGAAAAAAAATGACCGGGTGAGGATGGCTTAGCTCCATACTTCCTTGAGACAGCCCCAGTCGGTGTTGCTACCCGTGCCAGAGCTCAGCTTCCCCCTTGAACACACCCCTCCCCCTTGGCCGGGGACCTGGGCACTGGGCCCAGCTGTCCTGGATCAGAGCTGCATCCGAGTGGAGTGGTCCGCACCTGCATTCTGTTTGCTCCATAAGTGTTATTTGGATCACTGCTGTTTAGAGCCTCACCTTGGAGCAAGCTGTCACACGGGACTGGTCATAAGAGACATGTAAAGAGGTTTTCCAGGTCGATGGGTAATCCTCTCACAAAGCATCTGTCTTTAGCACACATGCTACTTACTCTAGAGCTGACAGTGACTATTAACAACTAGATCACCTGCTCATAGTTGAAGGCCAACAGGTGTCTCTGGCCTCCGAGGCCTGGATTCCAGTCCTACTTGTGATACTCAGCATCCAAGCAATGTGTAAATCCCTCCCTGGCTTCAGTTTTATCACCTTCTAATGGAGCTGACAAAACTGGTTGAATCAGAATCATCTCACATGCAAATGACAAATACTCAACACAAACATAAACTAAAATTGGGAAGTGGGCATTCGGTCATGGTGACTCCAGGCTTGGCAGGACCCCGAGGCTGAAAAGGACAGCCTCATTGCTCACCTCTGCAATTGCACCTTGTCTGTGAGGGTTTCTCCCTGTGTTGGAAAGATGGTGAGAGAAGTTCCAAGCTTTCTAGTTCATCACCCTAGCAGAAATTCCAGTCATTCCCAGACAACTCTGAGATTGAGTTTCATCAGTCTAGTTTGGGTTATGTGTTCAAGCTTGACCCAATCATGGAGTTAAGGGAATGGGATTCCCTGATTGGCTAAATCAAATCACATGATCATGACCACTCTTTGATAGGCCATGTCGGACCAAACAGAACCGCAAGGTTTAAGAGTAGAAGGTGATTCCCCAAAGGCAGTGCTGATTCCAGGAAGCTTCACCTAGAATTTCACCTACTGGAAGGTATTAGGAAGGTTGGATGAGAAAAGGCCTATAAAGTCACTTTGGAAAATGCTACATGGATTTCTGGTGCTCTAATTAATTATAGACATTACAGAGAGGGAATAGACGTAGTAGGCATATGGCTTCAAAGGTGTTTCAGTAATACACAATTTTTAAAAATAATGAGCAAGTGGTTTGCTATGTTTGCTTGCCAGCCTGTTCTCATTTTTCACAGCTTTCTCTCTGAGGTGAAAGAGGAGGAGGGTGGGAGTTAGGTGAGCAGGCCTGGGCTTTCCAGAGGAAAACAAACAATATGCACAAGTCATGGAAATCAGTGTGAAAACTGTGTGTGGTGTGAGTGTGGGTGTGTGTGGTATGGGGGTGTGTGGTATGAGTGTTTATGTATGGGTGGTGTGGGTGTGTATGTATGTGTAGGTGATATGGGTGTGTGTATGTGGTATGGGGTGTGTGTGTATAGTATAGGTGTGTGTGTGTGGTATGTGTGTGTGGTATGGGTGTGGAGGTATGGGGGTGTGGTATAGGGGTATGGGGGGTGTGGTATGGGAGTGTATGTGTATGTGGTGTGGAAGTGTATGTGTGTGTGATATGGGGGTAGGGTATGGGTGTGGGGGGTATGGGGTGTGTGTTGTATGGGTATGTATGTGTGTGTGGTATGGGGGTGTGGTATGGGTGTGAGGGGTATGGGGGGTTTGTGGTATGGGTGTGTATGTGTGTGTGTGGCATGGGGGGCATAGAGGGGTGTTGTATGAGTGTGTATGTATATGTCTTATGGATTTGGGGGGACATGGGTGTGTGTGGTATGGGTGTGTGTTGGAGGTTGTAGGCAGAATGAGTGTGTGTATATATGGGAGGTGTGTGTGCATGTGGTATGTGTATGGGGTGTGTGGTATGGGTATGGGTGTGGTGGAAGTAGTATGTGTGTGTATGTGTACGTGTGTGTGGGGGAGATATTGTTAGTCCTCTGAATTCTCACCCATAAATGAGTCTTTGAAAGCAGGTAGGCAAAACAACTATGAGATATCATCTCACCCCAGTCAGAATAGCAAAATTTAACAGAACAGCAAGCAACAAATGCTGGTGAGGTTGTGGAGAAACTGGAACCCGTATTCACAGTTGGTGGGAGGGTAAAATGGTGCAACCACTGTGGAAGGAGGTGTGGTGCTTTCTCAAAAAGTTGCAAATAGAGATACCATTCGACCCAGCAATTCCACTACTGGGAATATACCCTGAAGAGACCATAGCTGACATCCAAGCCGATATAGGCACACCCATGTTTATCGTGGCTTTGTTCACAATAGCAAGGAGGTGGAAACAACCCAGGTGCCCATCAACAAATACATGGATAGAGAAGCTGTGGTATATTCACACAATGGAATACTATGCTGCATTGAAAAACAAGGAACTCATGCCATATTATTATTCAAAATGGGTGACCCTGGAGGACATTATGCTGAGTGAAATATCTCAGTCACAAAAGGACAAATACTGCATAATGCCCCTGTTGTAAAATGGGACTGACATCGGGATTGAGGGGAGAATGCGAAAGATGGGATAAATAATGTATACTGCAT